AGAGCGATTCATTACGAGGTCTCATCCAGTGTTTGAATCATTTTCTGACCATATCTTCAATTCTGCATTTGTTAGCACGAACATCACATTACACAACACAATGATTGACAGTGAGCATGGCGATGCCCCCATAGGACCTTGCATGATTACTTTCATCCCATACACACATCTACACCATCATGCATCATGTTTCCACCTAACATGCCACGTATGGACCTAAAATCGGGAATGATTCAACTTTTGCCCACTTTTCATGGTCTCGAAAGCGAAAATCCATACGTGCATATTGGGGAGTTTGAGGAAGTGGTGGCAACCTTCCACAGTCAACATGGTATGTTGGATGCAGTCACGCTAAAAAATTTCCCATTTTTATTCAAAGAACATGCAAAAAGCTGGCTATATTCACTGCGCCCACATTCGTTTGGGACTTGGGTTGAAATGACCCATGCATTTTTTGGCAAATACTTTCCCCATCATAAAACAACTTCCTTAAAAAAATTCTTCTTTTATTTAAAAGAACAACGAAACTTTATATCAAGCAGGAAAAAGGTACAAAGAATTGCAAGCCCTTTGCCCCCACCATGGTTATGAAAGTTGGTGTGCGGTGAGTTATTTTTATGAAGGTAAACGCCTAGGGAGCATCAAATTGTTGAAATGATGTGTCATGGTATAACTGAGAAACATCGTAAGGGACCTATGGATGACTATCTATCTTTCGACGACAACGAGGCAGGTCCATACCCTTATTCGAGAGTCTTAGTGATCTCAATGCCCATTGCTAGAGTCACCATACCGCGGGTCTTATACCGGGAGCGCCCTCAATATACTGTACGTCAGTGTGCTCAAATGGATGGGTATTCTTGTGGCTTCTTGCAATCGTACATAAATGTAATTCTTGGACTAAACAAGGCTATGACTAGGGCAACAGGATCAATGATGCTCATAGTTGAAGCTGAGGAAGCCCCGCAACAAGTTAAGGCTGAATGCTGAGTTCGTAGTGTTCGATTCCATATCACCTTTTGACGCCATCATGGGACAACCCCTATTGTTCGGCCTCAGGGCTGCAATATTCTTGTATTATTATTCATTCAAATTTTTTACACCTCTTGGAATAGGCGAAATCAAGTTAAACAGGGAACTTGCTGAGAGATGCTAGATGAGGATTTATCCTACTGTTCAAAATACACGTATTGCTCCAGGCGTGTATATGGTGTGCCAATCCGAATTCGACCCCGACCTATTAAACCCATGCTAAAAAATTAAAAGAGAGAAACCTATGGAAGATCTGGACAAAGTATCCATCTGTCAAAGCGGCTCGTCAAAAGACATCAAAATGGGACATGGCTACAACTACAAATTCGAAATTAGATAGTAGAGTTCCTTTGATAGAATCTTGACATCTTCGCATGGAGCCATGAAGATATGGAAGGAATTGACCCCAAAATTGCTTGTCATAGACTGCACGTAGGTCCCTTAGTTCGCCCAAAAGCAGCAAAAATGTTGCATTCTAAATCCCAAAAGGTACGAGGCACTAAACAAAAAAGTACAAAAGATGCTCTGCAACAGGTTCATTTGAGAAGCCTAGTACCTCGAGTGGGTTGCAAACCCCGTTCTCGTTAAAAAAAGTAATGGAGAGTAGAAGGTGTGCATCGACTTCACCGATCTCAACAAGGCGTGTTCAAATGACAGTTTTCCCTTGCTAAGAGTAGATCAAATGGTCGATATCATAGCTGGACATGAGTTACTCAGCTTCATAGAAGCATAATCAGGATAAAATCAAATACCCACATATGGGCCGGATCAGCAACACATCTCGTTTATCACTTACCAAGGTCTTTACTGTTACAAGATGATGTCTTTTATGCTCAAGAATGGTGGAGCTACGTACTAACGCTTTGTAAACTCTATGTTCGACCAACAGATGGGTAAAACCATAGAAGTATATGTCGACGATGTTCGAGATTTTGAGGAAGTACAGAATAAAACTAAACCCTAAGAAGTACGCCTTTGGTGTCAGCTCGTGAAAATTCCTGGGTTGCATGGTGAATTGTTGAGGGATTGAGGCTAACCCCAAAAGGATACAGGCCATTATCAAAATGAAAGCACCAACAAGACCCAAGGAAGTGCAAAGTTTGACTAGAAGAATTCCCTCCCTCAATCGCTTTGTATCGAAATCAACAAGTCGGTGCAAACCATTTTTCGACACGTTGCGAGGGGAGAAAAGGTTTAAATGGACTCATGAATGCCAAAATGCCTTCGATGATCTAAAGAAATAGTTAGCTCAACCACCAGTCCTGACAAAGCCCAAGAAAGGTGAAATTTTAACATTGTACCTTGCTGTGTCGGAACACGCAATCAAAATCGTCCTAGCCGGGGAAGAAGAAGGAACACGACACCCCATTTACTATACCAGTAAAGCACTCCACAAAGCCAAGCTTCACTATCACCACTAGAAAAATTGGCCTATACCAGGTCATGGCAGCTAGGAAACTGAGACCGTACTTCTTGGAACATCCTATTGAAGTACTAACTAATTTTTCATTAAGACAGATTTTTGCACAACCCCGACACTTCCGCATTGATGGTCAAATGGGCAGTGGAGCTCGGACAATTTGACATCAGATTCAAACCCTGTACCTCTATCAAAGGTCAAGCTCTCGCTGACTTTGTGGTGGAATTCAATGTTGAACCCCGTGTTTAGATATATGTCCTAAGAAGGGAGAAACATCGTAACACGTGTTTAATACCACTTGTGGTTTAAAGACTAATGAGAAATTAAATAATTGATCCTTGCTTCTTCGTTGTGGAACTCGATCAAGCTGTAAAACGGGTCTTGTGGATAAGAAAAATACATATTGATTACTTGTTATAATCTCATCTTGATATCTCATCAAGGCGACTGGATCATCTACACATTATGATCACTATGTCTCATCTTAGCACGCCTCAAAGTGTCCGAGGCGATTGTTCGTGTGAGTAAATTAGTCTCAACCTATTTGACGTACTTCATGTTTTGATGCTATCATTTTGAGTCGGGTTGACTTTCAAATGTTCCCAATTATCAAGAAAGGAGCAAATCAAAGCCTAAACTTGCTGCTTATAAGAGAGTATGTGACCAGCCAGTTCTAGCTCTCTAATCATAGTAAGAAATGAGACTATTTTATCTAGCACCTCAACTTGTATTCATCAGCCGAACAATCGTGTGATCATTTTGAGTTTACAATACAATTGTGAATACAATAAAAATTAGAAAGTTAAGTATGTTCTTTGATTAATTGAGAGGTCAGAAATACTCGAACTAGTCTTACAAGATATGTCTGGGAATAGGAAAAAAAAAATTAATCTAGTAGAGTTGCTGTATATCCCTAATATGTATATAGTGTTGTGTGCTTTTAATCCATTTCAAAAAATCAATTCAGATTTTCTATTGCAAAATAATATTCCTGTCCTTCCTGCACTATTTCAAATTTCGCATTTCAGTCCTAAATATAATTTTATTGCATTTTTAGTCCTTTTTCGATTTGGAGAGATCAAAGCATTAGTAGGTACGTCAAGTCTTGTAATTTGGGGAGTGTTGTTATTACAAGTCGAGGTAGGTGTACTTAGGATAAAAGTGCCAAAAGATCGTCGGTGCGGATATTATAATCTCATTGAGAAAAAGTCAAATTCTTGCCCCAGTCATTTCAATTCCTACTAACCTTTCATTCGGTAAGTTGAAACTCTATCTAATTTTTTTACTTACTAAAAATGTTATTTTGATTATAAATTAATGCACGGTAAAATCATTATATTACATATTCTTTTCCCAACGGACTACTGGAGGTTTGTAAACTAGTGGCTTTAGCTATATCGTTGGTTTGTGGATAGGAACTTCCATGGATGGATTTTGAAGTTCACAATGCAGTGAAGAATTTGTGCCTTGGATGCCTGTAGAACCAAGAGGGAAAAACATTTGCAATTTGTGATTCCTTGTATTGTGAGATGAGATGAAAATAATTTGGTCAGTATAACTAGTTAATTGTATAATTTATGGCCTACTATTAATAGTATGGTTTGTGATTGTAGCCTTAATGTGATTAGTGATTTAGAACATGACCTATTAAATATATGATTTGTGACCAAAAGACGTGATTGCAATCCACAAGTTTTGTTTTTGTGACGTAACCTTGTGTGATCGTTGACTAGTAGTGATTGTGACCATAAATTGTTAGTTATTGTGATCAGGCCGTTTAATTTAATTATGTCACAATATTTTATCAGAGATAACAACCCAATTTTTGAAAAAATCACTAGTTTCTTATTTATGGAAATGTGTTTTATAACCTTCATCAATTATATATTTTTCCTTTTTGCAATTGTCACAAACAAGAGACCTAAACAAAGTGATCACTGTTAGCATGCATTACCAGGTCACAAAGTTTCGGTTCTTACATTTGTGTGATTAATTCTATGCTATTACAAGCCAAGCGTCCCTATCCATTTAAGTAAAGTGTTTAGTTAATTGAAGTCTAGCCCCTGTTCGACAACTATTAATTGTGGAAAATAAATTTTTGAATAATATTTTTTTGGATAACTCATAGTTAAAAAACAAGAAAAATTTTGAATTTACGTGAGAAATATTTTATTATATTAATGTATAATTGAAAATAAATATATGGAATAAAATTAAAAATATTGATTGTTAAAACAGGCTTCGAAAGATTTTTCTAGGGAAAAACAGAGAAACAGCACACACAACCAAACCTATCCCATATATCCACCGACCGTATCCGTATCTTTATGTTCAGAGTAGATTTCCTGAAGGAATGAAATGGACTCCCTCAACAGCGGGTGGTTTCTTACGCATAATATTTTGAGAACTCCAGAACTGATTTAGGCGAAAATTAATGTCACGATCTGGCGACCTCCACAGCTAGAAAAAACGAAGCAGGGGAGGCTCAACACGAGCACATTCAGTTTGGTCCATTTTACAGCTAGGAGGAATAGGTGCTTTCCCAAAATGGTAACAAATATTTGCATAACTTAATTGCCATTACTAAATTTTTATAGGAAGAGCGTCAGAGAAAAAATACATCACAGTTTAGTAAGTATAGAATAACCAGTGACACAAAACCGCTGGATATTGCAGTCAAGTAAGGCACAAAATTGGTGATAAAATTTTACTCAGGTTCTAAAATCTCCTTATGCTGCAATTTTCTGAACTTTATTTGGACGAGATCCAGAATCTGAAGATCGAGAATGCTTTCCACGGAAGTGCTTGCCACCTCTGTTGTGCTTTCCTCCCCTGTAAAGTGGAAACAGTCTCAGGACCTAGTTGGACAGATGAGAATGTGGAGGGGGAGAATTTATAATAGTTCCTCAAAATTGGGTGAAGTGTGTTTTTCAAAATCCAATATGCCGCTAGACAAGAAGCTGCAAAGCATTTACTTGGAGAACGGAGTGAGCGGGGAAATTGAAGAACAGTGCCAGGTTGTACTACACGTACATAATGGTTTATATACACATGATGTTATGAGATATAATTGGATCAGATTTTCTTCAACCAAATAAAAGAAAAAACTTCTCCACTCTCTTTTTTGAGCCCTCGTGTAACTCCATTATATACAAGTAACATTATTCTTTAAGTAAGGGTATAGCGTGTCCATGATTTTTAATTGAAAATTTTTTGGGGTGCGCTCATTTTCACTTGACTACCAAAAGATGCACTTCTAAAAAATTTCCCAACAGTCTTTTCTCACAATCGCTATAGAGAGATGAAAAGAAGGAAGGGAACTGGTTTTTTACCTTCCACGGTTGCTTTTGAAATTGTCACGGTGCTTCTCCTGATTAGTACGAAGTAGCTTCCAGTATTCCTTCTCAGCATCCCCTGATGTCACAGCTCGGTAAGAAACAAATTTACTACACAGAGCAGTAACCAAAAAACCTGTCTGTGTTCAAAATTGATATAGCATTTAAGAAGCCATTGAGAATTGAAACAAAGCATGGAGTATTAGCCAATTAACAATTAAAGCATACCTACATTGGCTTACAGTGTCAATATACGCACCACTGCACCAGTGCTACGAAAGAGCACGATGTGAAATTTCTAACAACCAATAGCATGTCGGGCTAATAAGCTTTAAGTAATAAGTAGTACTTTTAAGTAACTTTTTGTTTCTAAACTTGCTTATTATTTCTAACTTTAATCATTAAAAACATTCTATCTTAAAACTAATCTACAGGGGGCAATATTCTGCACAGCAAAGATATCTAAACTAGTTAACTCAAAGGAAGTTTCAATTTAGAAAGTAACTATGAAATGTAAATCCATATCGTCCTTATGAACAATGAATAAAAAATGCCAAGAGAAAATGAAATGAAGGAAAAGCAAGAGCTTGCCACTAACCAGTTACTGGATCCAGAGTGGCCACAAAATTTTTCACGATCAGACCACCTTCCTCTGCAAGCACAGCAGCAGCACGTGCTTTCTGAGCAGTTCCAGCATCTTCAAACCTTACATATCCAGAGTCTGATCCAATCTTGAAATCGATGAACTACATTGAAAGAGTGAAAGTTAGATTAAATTGCAACAGCTAGGAACGAAAATTCCTTATAAGACATTCCAGGAAAGCAAAATTCCAAGCATGACTAAATAGCACAGTTTACAATATTTTCAAGAACAAGGTTTAAAGACCAAGAACTAAAAATAAAATTGATGGAAAAAATATTCTTGACAAGCTGTTATGTGATTGTGCTTTGACTCTTTAACCATGAAATGGTCTGGGTAGAAATCTGAAAATATGGTGCGCAACTGCCAGGATAAATCAACTAAGGAAATGCAATTAACAAGATAATACGAGGTAACAATCAAATAAATTATGAATAGAAATGTCTATGGAGTCCACAAATAAATAGTACTCCCAATCAAGGATCGCACGAAATCCACCTTAGGCCAATGTCTAAATTTCAGAGTGACTCATATACTGGAAGCAGTCCAAACGGATCAGGTAGTCCAGGCAAATACAATGACGAGGACCAAAAGAATACCTTAACAGTGCCAAACTTCTGGAAAATACTTTTCAGGTCCTCTCGCAGAACAACATCTTTATTGTCCTTGTAATCAGCAATAGTTGATTTTTCTTCGCCCAAACCTTTAGATTCCTGAACTTCGTTCTCTGCTCCAGTGGTATCTTCTTCATTTTCTTCATTCTCCTCAACATTGTCTTTATCATTTCCTTCATCTACATCTCCTGACACATTTTGGTCTGTCTCCTCAGTGATATTCTGTGGCGTATCCTGTTCTCCATCTGTTTTAGGGGAACCTCCAATATTGTTCACTGGTGCAACAGTACCATTCTGTTCCTCAGAACCTCCAGAGGAGTTCCTCTTCAGCTTAAACGCAACAATTAAGCCTTCAGGATAGCTGTGATCATCAAAACCATCAAATTAACAGTAATATGTGTAATTTTTAAACAATTGCGATATATTATTTAGCCCACGTTTGGTTCGTCTAAAAATCATATTTTTAGTAAATTGTGATAAAAGTTGATGAAATGTGAGATTGAAAAAGTTGATAAAAGTTGTGGCTCCAATAAAATGTCATTGAAAATGAATTAAAGAAAAACGAGTTTTAAAAACTTGAGCCAAAAGGGGTTAGCATAATACTCACTCTGGTCTAGCATTGGCTTTGTTATTGCGGTTTGAACCCACTTGAGAACGAGTTTTCTCGACTTCTTCCTCTTGCTTAGCCCTTTCATCATCAAAGTCCTTCCTAAAACCGGAGGGAAAAAGCACACATGAGAAACAAGAGAGACAGAGAGATAGACTTGCAAGCATACACAAAGAATGACAAGAATCAAGCTTCAAGATGAAGTAATAGAAAATAGGAATTATTCAAGTAAATTGGTGCTTAAGATGATCTTGCAATCGATGAGTACCATTAGAATGAGATTATAAAATGATGAATGGAAGGCAGTTTCATTCTGGCATCAGACAGTGAACACATTAGTGTAGTATAATATTTTGTTCACTTAATAAAAATTTGAAATTAGCAAATAAAATAGAACAGCAAATGAAATCACAAAAACCATGAGTCTAGTATATGCAGACTCTTTGCTGAGAAATAAAGCTTGTGTAAAGTTCAAGAAAATTATCAAAAGTTAAACAGCAAGCAAACCACACAGAATCCCATGCTTTTGTAAACTGGCCAGTGAACCAGTATTTAGCAATAAACTACAACCCCCCCCCCCCCCAAAAAACCCCAGAACACACACCAATCCGTCATTGTGTCATTGTCAAACCCGTGCTGCCTAAAAAAGAGGTCATAAGGCTGCAGGATCAGGAAAAACTCAATAGGGAAAAAATTGTAAGTTAATGCCAATGCAAAATCCCTTACTACATATATTATGACAACGAACCTGTTGGTTTGGCAAACAATTTGGTCAAAAATCAAAAAGAAGAGTTTGGTATTCCATGGAAACATCCATAATCAATCTGAACCTGACAGTGTTCCTCTGAATAGTTTCCTCAAATGAGTAATCAAAGGCAAATGAATTATATAGCAACAACAGCCTAGGAAAGATTTTCTATATAGCAACAACAGCCTAGGAAAGATTTTCTTACTTTGGTTTCAGTTCTAATTCAACCCCTGCATAACTCAAGCTTTGCTTCAAAACATTTGCAGCATCTTCCTCAGTGGAGAACTCAATAAGCGCAGTTCCAGAAAACAACCTTTTGTCAGCAACATGCCGAGGTAGCCTCACACTATTAACCTAGAATGATGCACAAAAACTCAGTTATAAATCATCATATAATTTATCCTCTCTTACTAAGCAAAAAGATGTGTTTGAAATTTTGAGCAATATATGCAAAAATACTATCGACCCCAAATTTCTACAAGGCTAAAAAATGATTTTTAGTTAAATCACATCCAATTTCTAAATGCAAATACGTGTATGTATATATATCTCAACTCCAGACATGAGATGCAACCTTCGTTCTCTTAAATGTCTGCCATTTAGGGAAATGCATACCCATGACGTAAAATGCTGTACACTAACGGTTCAGATAGGCAAAATAATTGCTTGATGGTCGATAATCAACGAAATCGTAGTATTATATACCTTCGCATACTTATTAAAGAATAATTCTACATCTTCAAGTTTCACATCATACTCCAGTGGTGAGGCAGCAATTGTTCTGACATCCGATTGCTCAATAACCTCCTCTGGCTTTGCCAGCTCAGTAACTCTACCAACCTTCTTGCCTGAAAAATATAACAGCTATGAATGCACAGACCAGCGTCAATTATGTATACAACATTCTTCAAATTATAGGATAATCTTTCGAATTCTTCTACATAAGTTTAAATTATGAAAAACTCACCATCATCAGAAACCTTAAGAAAAGTAGAGGTTCTCAGAGTTTCAGCTACAGCTTTAACTGTATCTTCAGACACATCTTCTGGCTTCGCATCTCCCAAGCCCAGATGACCTCTCATCCGAGAGAATGAGCATATCAACGCCAAACTTACCACTAAAAATTTCAGTTAAGAAATCAAGTGTTCAAAAGTACCAAAAAACAAAGTTTTATATCTTTAACTAAAATCCCGCTATTTTAGCGAAATTAAAGACCAAAAAGAAACAACTAGGTTTCATAAAAGTCAAAAATTAATCATTTGTTCAAGAGTATATGTTTTTGTGGTGATTAAAACCGATTACACGGACTTAGACCCATAGTCGGACCGGATCAGACCGGCCAGTTGCTATAATTGGTACATTTAACAAGTGAACCGGTCAAAGATCGGTTGAGCCGCCCAATATCATGGTCGAACCGGACGGGTTTAGATGAACATTGAACCGGTTCAAGGATGAACCGGTATATGACAAAGTCAGGCGCAAAAAAATTTTCTTCAATATGCAAAGGCAGAGATTCGAACCTTGGCATTTGAAGCGAAATACACATCCATAACCATTATGGCAACATCCGAACTTGTGATTCAATAGTGAATTAATACATATATATTTTATATTTAGGAAGATTGTTCTCCCTCATTTTAAAAAATATTTGTTAATTAAAACTACGACCTAGGAATGACCCACCGGTTGAACCACTAATCCACCGGCTGAACCACGATCCGGTTACCCAATGATTTTTCCCAGTCAATGAACGGGTCAGGTATAATAACTATGCATAGACCCTATCGCAAATCAAGGGTAAATGAAGTCTTGGGATCAGAGTTCATAAAAGTCGCTAGACAGTCCCAAGGTCAGGAAGGGAAAGGAAAGAGCTGCCCCTGAAATTTGATTATATGGATTCTTCGTCGAGAAACAATAACCCAAAATGAAAGAAAGGAAGTCAGACAATATTCTTATGCACAAAGAAATCCTCCACTGTTAGGGGTGGAAATAAAAAGTTTCTGTTTTTATATCGTATTAACCCTTCTCCCGAACGTTAATAGATATTTATGTATAAAATGCTTTAATTTCAAATTAATTGCGTAATAGCAACATATAGAAAAACATGAATACCCCTATATAACTATATGTGTTCTCCGCACATAGGCAAGAAAAAAATATTACTAATTCTAAAGGCAACTCCTACTCTATTGTGACAATATTACTTTAAAATTTTAACTAATTCTAAAGGCAACTCCTACTCTATTGTGACAATATTACTTTAAAATTTTAATCAATAAATAATTATTTCTTTGATGATTTTTTTTATTTGTTTATGTATAAAAGGACTTATTAGTTAACTTTTTAAGCTTAGGTAAACATGTTCTTGATATAAGAAAGGATACTTCCATCGTCACTTTCATTGATGGTGCTCCTGAGAAATTTATCTCTTGGGAGATTACTGTCACTGAAATAAAACTCTACCTGCAACGAAAAAAAATCAATAAAAAAAATAAAAAGGTTCAATTTTTTTCTTTTATTCACGAATAAACGACAGGAAAAAAAGCCGAGGCGACGATGTACCTGGCGAATGACTTTCTTTGCAGTTTCTTCATCTAAAGTTGGCTTCGCCATTGATGGTGTACTGTTTGAGAGAGAGAGAGAGATTGATGGTTTCGGTTTAGGGTTTTGGAGGTGGAGTGGGCTTCGAGGATTTTTTTTTGCATTTTAAAACGGACGAGGTTGTGACTGAATTTAAATAAATAATAATAATAATTGTAGAAGTCATCAGCGCTATGTTGGCTCTTAACTTTTAAAATTGTTAGGGTAATTAGAAAAAAAAAAATCTCTATCGTCTGTATTCATTGCAAAAATAATTTCTATTGTTTCAGATTTATCATTTACTCCCTCATTTCAAACATTTCTTACAGAATTGGTCATTTCTATTATGTTCCTTTAAATCCTTCCGTTAAATATGTGTAATTTGACCAAAATGTCCCTATCGTTTGCTTTAATTGTACAAATAGACCATATCATTTCGATTATAAAATTTAAATATTTAGATCGGCATTTATTTGCTTAAAAAGTCCTTGCCATCCATTTTCTCCATTATATTATAAAATAATTAATTTATCATCATCTTCAAATAAACAAATAGAAAAAAAGGAAATAATATAAAAAATTGTATATAGATTTTATTCTTTTTAAAAAAAGTAAAAACGAGTTTTACATAAAACAATTTAAAATATTCTAATAAAAAATATTTTATTTTCCAACTAACCCGCATATCGATACTCCTATCCACTACCACCACCAGAATAATTAAAAAGAGAATTAAAAGTATAAAAAATGTTGATGATGTATAAGCACCATTTTGTTTTTATAATTATTTTCGTTTTTCTATTTTTAATTCTTTTTTTATACTTTTAATTATTTCTTTAATTAATTTTGTGGTGGTGATGGAGTGTAGGGGATGGGTGTAAGGGTAGGAGAGTTAACTGAGAAGATAAAATATTTTTCTTTCATAAACATATTTTAAATTATTTTACGTGGCACTTATTTGTACATTTTAAAAAACATAAAACTCTAGATGCAATTTTTTATATTATTTCTTTTTTTTTCTATTTGTTTTTATTTAAAAATGATGATAAATTAATCGCTTTACAACATTATAATGGAGAAATAGATGACAAGGGCATGTTAAGCAAAGAAATAACGATTTAAGTGTCCAAATATCAAAATTGAAACAACACTAGTCGAGCACTGAAAGCGAACGATTGGCACCAAATTACACATATTTAACGGAAGAATTAAACGATAATGACCAATTTTGGAATAAATGTTTGAAATGAGGGTGTAATGCTGAGCTTGAAACGATAAAGACCATTTTCACAATAAGTAAAAACTATAGGATTTTTAATTTTTTTTCTAATTACCCAATTTTTATAATTTTTATTTATGTATTAATAAGTTGGGTAATTGAAGAGTTTAAACATCATGTTAACTTTGTTCTCCATATTCAAAGCCACCTTCTCCGGTGCAGACACATTCCTGCACTGAACTTTTCTCGGAAATCTCGAGCAGAAAGAATCACCAAAAAGAGCTTTGCCAAATAGGCACTTAGTAATATGAAGGTTCAATTTAAATATGCACAAACAAGAAAGAAACCATACAAGAGATCAACGGAAAATCTTGATCTCTATCTATATGTAAGTATATATAGTTTGATAGATACACACAATAACAAAGGTTGTTGGTTTTGGGTTAAAAGAGGGACTCAAGTAAAAGGGAGAGGCAACCACCTTTTCCTCTTTTACTGTCATTTAGGGATAGCAATCAGGTTCGTCGCCTCGGACCGCTCATGACTCAACTCCGAAAAAGCTTGAGCCAACGGGGCTCGAGGCTAGAACCGAGTCCTATGTTGGAGTATCAGGCAAAGCCCGAATCGATGAGCTACACGGGCTGACTTGAGCTCACAAGCTTATATTTAAAAAAATAATAATAATAATAACATTTAAAAAGCAGCAGAGGCTACCTTAGAGGCAGCCGAGTGCTGCCTTCATTTAACTTAAAATAAAAAACTACCAATACCGAGTCTTTATTTTTTTGGCTGAGCAAAATCTCGGGCTGGCTTGACCCCGAAAAAAAGCTCGCTCATTTTACTCGAGCTGAGCCCAGCCTTGAGTTTCGGCTCGAGTCGGCTCGTTGACATCCCTACCCTAGTTTCACTACCTTTCTACCATTTATGACTTCATGTGGTTCGACAATTTGAGGGATCTATGGTAATTTGGTATAACTATTGGAATTTTGTACGGATTTGGAACCTACACAATCCAAATAAAGTAATTTTTCCCTAGCATATTTCACACGTAAAACTAATGCTATACATTTAATAAAAATAATATTAACTCAGGAAATACTAGAGAATTTAAGTTCGAATTAAATGTAGAAAAAAAAATTATATTCACATCCACGATGTGTACAATATTCGATTATGTTTAAAAATTATCTTCTCGAAATAAATCTACATTATTTTTTTCATGCACAGTTAAATTGTCTCGACTATGAAATCAATATTTAACAAACTGCAACTTATTAAAAAGTAGGTGCACAATCTTAACATGAATCGTTGTATCGAAAACAAGTTGCCCCCTAGGGCATAGCCCAATGGTGCAAAGAACAACAGTGAGGTTATCTCACGCCTTGCTGGAAGTCGCATTGTAGGGGGTTCGATTCTTGAGACATAGAATTGGACTTCTTATAGGCGCAATGTACAAACAGCTCTTGTTCCCTGGCTTGTTGGGGCATATCCCGCGATTTACCTCTCTCATAAAGCTCTAAGGACGGGGCGGTGGGGGCTCTCAAGGTTGGGGTACAACCATTTTTTTTTTTTTTTTTTTTTTTTTTAAAAAAAATTTTAAAAAAAAAAAAAAAAAAAAAAAAAAAAAAAAAAAAAAAAAAAAAAAAAAAAAATTTTTGGTTGGGGTACAACCATTTTTTTTTTTTTTTTTTAGTATCGAAAACAAGTTTAGACATCTTGTCCGCACCATCATAATCCCAACACCTCTCCGAAAGTCTCTCCATCTCTTGCCAAGTTTTTAGTTTGTGCCTCTCGAGCCATTACCTCCCTCTCCTGTCACCTCAAATCGCTTGTGCCACTCTGCTTCGTTTCCTGATTTACACACTACAGTAGATTATAATTGAGTTTTAAGTTTATAGTTTAGTTAAGAAAATTTTGAATGCATATTGCATATTTTAAGGGGCCAAATTTAAAGTTCGTCTCGAGTGTCGAAAACTCAAAATCCAACATTGATTAAATTTTATCTGCACTGGACAATATTTTTGGCTCCGTCCCCATTCTTGGATGGCCTATCGGCATTGGAATTGCTAGATACGCTAGGTATTAATCACTTAAAAGCAGCATAATACAACTGGCTACTTAGACATTGTATAATAAAACCTTTATAAACTAATAATATTGGAATAATGATAAATTATTATTTTATCGAACAATAAATAAATCATCAATTTATTAATATATTGCATAAAGTCAATTTATCAATATGTTTTGATGTCATTTTTAATCAATGCTACAAAAATGTCATAGATACCAAGCGTGTCTCAAATTATTTTAGTGAAAACAATATGATAATGGACTAACCTACCGACCTAGAGATTGTTGAGGGGGTACTAAAAATACTTATCGTGGATGATAATGAAATAGATGATAGCTGTGTTTTATCAACTACTTGTCAAAAAGTTCAAGCCTTATTTCCTCGGATAATTAATTTTTACAAAACTAAAAAAAAAAAAATTCTAAACACAGCTTATGCATTACAAAGAATTAAGGATGGAATTGAGTTTGGTTCGAGTACAAAGGAAAAAAAGGCAATGGATCCATCTTTTCAAGAAAAAAGATAGAAACTGAATTGAAAAAATGTTGTCATCGTCTAGCCATATCTTTAAATGTATTATAAAATTTACGTACTAAATCAATTATTATTTTATATTTTAATTGGATCCGAAAGGATCTTAATAAAATTATTCTCTTACGTATTTAACTAGATTATTAATTTAGTATATCGATTCGAGTCAAAGTATAAAATTTTATTATTTAAACAAGGCTATTAATTTATCAAACATTCATTCATACATTAAGTTGCAACTTTTGGAGTGATTAACAAAGCTCTTTCAATTTTGACTTGGACTTTGGGCAATAAATTATTGGGCCACCCGCTTCAAACCAATCTCATCATTGGGCTTCAATGCACTAGGCCCATCCATAAGGCCTCGAACCACCTCACCAAATCCACTAGGTGGTCCATCGGCTGCCAAAAACTTGTGGCCCCTTTGAATTTAGTTCATCATTTTGAACGAGGAGACTCGGTGGTTTTTGTGGAATTATTTAACGGGAAAATTTTGTAACTATCGTCACTTGAAATTGTGTTTTTGTGCGCACAACACGTACATAAATGAGAAATGATCTATTAAGTATCGTTTTTTAGCTTTTATATTAATGCACATCTCTTAGTCGCGTGACCATTTATTCTCTGTTATTAACGAAAATATTTTTTTAGGGGAGTAGGCTTTTATTTTTTAGGTAATTTGCTATCTCTTTCTCTTTCATCTACTCAAACTCCCCCATCTACATACCAATAAAAAATGAACAAGTATAACATTTTATAGGTTAAAAATAAAATCACTAGACAATTTAATTGCATAGTATTTATTTTCTTTCCATATATATTCAATATTTGCAATTAAACACACCCTAATTGTTTATTTTCTCAATTTTAAATTATTATCATATTTTTTGTTTAATAAATTTTGAGAAAGAATCAACATAAAAGGAAAAAGAAAAAAAAAACTTTTTATTTATTTTTTACCTAATGCAGTACGTAAATGTTTCAACTAATTGTTAGGTATAAAGTATATAAAAACATCTTTGCATATTTTCTATTTTCAACATTATTCACGTTTTTGTATTTAATTTCTCGAAAATAAATAAAGCGCACGTAACTTCGTCAACTTCATTAAAATAAAAGTTTAAAAGAGCAACTGAAAATTGACTGGTGAAAACTTTTAATCAAGATTTGTTTATAGATAAGATCCCTTTCAGCCGCCGGCACAATTGCCTATCAGAACCACTGCCGGCCAGCCACACAAACAACGGCCCACCACAATCTCCATCGTCACCACCACCACCAAGGATTTCATCAATTTTTTATTTTTTATTTTCCAAAATCTACTAACAATTTTTATTAGTAAGCATTGCGTAAAAGTAACATTATTATTTTTTCTTTCTATCAAATATTTGATGCACCTACTGGATTATCTCAATCACTTTCTGCTACACAACTGAGTGGGAAAAATGGTGGAAGAATCCCAAAAATGTTGACCCTTCGATTTAAATCTCATGATATTGTAGAATATAGATTTGGTTCACTTTCCATTGACTTGATACTACCCAAATCTCTAATCCAAAAGTGCACTATTGTTTTCAAATAGATTCAATCGCAATGTTGTCAACTTATAGGTTTGAATTTGGAGTCAGTCTTCAAAAGTGGGCTCCAAATGAACTATGAACCGATTCAATAAAGATTAAAATTCAAATTTTTATCAAACTTAATAATTAATTTTAACTACAGATTTTATAGGTTCCACAACTTTTCAATATCGTATTTCATTAATTTTTATCAAACCCTATTAAAAATCTAATTTTGATCTTCACCAAACAGGAATATGTATTAAAATTGATGATGTCCAAGACTCATGATATATATGTATATACATACATATGTATATATATACATATGTATGTATATGTATGCATGTATATATTATTGTAGAATATTAGACAAAGTAGAGACTGTATGATTAATCAATTGCATTTTCTTTCAATAGTATGATGTGGATCTCGGGAGCTTATCCACAATTAAGTGACTAATTGTTCTCATGAATTTGTTTAAATTTCTATTCTATATTTTCCTCTGTGAGTTCATTTATCTCAGACCGAGTAATAGAGGTTTCAAAATGAATTAGTCGAAAATATCTAGTTGATGAATAAAATGGAGGAAAGTTAGTTGACCTCATCAATTAAAACAACAAATTCATTTGAGATTAAAAGATCACTAATTTACTAATGCAACTTGATGACAATATTAAGATTTTGGATTCCATCTTAAACGATCAACCTTGTTAAGAGAAGTAATCCAAAACTTTATAAATTGGTATAAATTTTCAATCGGATCGAATCGCTCGTTAGAGATTAATGAACCCTAACATCATGTTAAGACTTAGGATTCTATCTTAAAAGGTCAACATTGTTAAGATGAGTAGTCCAAAACCTTATAAGTTGATATATGCTTCCATCTTTGTTCAATGTGGAATTTTATCCCTTAACAGACAAGAACTTGAATTTATGTATACTAGGTGAGAATATAGAGGATTTCGAGTCCCGGTAATAAATAGTTCGTAAATTAATTATCTTACGAACTAGAATACTAAAAATCAAAACTCGTATTCCTATAATAATACACAAGAACAAAAAGAGTTGCCAAATAAAGCTCTTTCGATTTGGACAAATGAAGCAAAGCCATAATATAGAACAAACAAATTCAATTCGCGACTTTACTTAAAAAACAGAACACATGACAGCACGCGAATGGATATAATTATTGATTAACACTCAACATGTTTGTCATCGAGAATGTCTTGAAAGAAACAGAAAGGAAAAAAATGATTACTTTCACTTAATTCCTTGAAGGTCTTTTAGAGCTTCCTGCTCCATTTTGATCAATTAGGCATACAAAATGATGTTTTAAAGTGCATTTCTACAACCGATCAAATGGAGAAAAATGTCCGTCTAGCTTTGAACAGGTAAATGGAAATAAATAGAGCGAGTCAAACACATGCAAATCACGTGTGGAAAACGAGCTTGATGCCGAATCTTGTTAACCTGGATGTCAGTTCTTAGCATGATTGTGCAAGAGAAATGTACCTAGGGATCATACTTGCAGAGGTTCTCGAATCCCATGTATTCATGTCGCTCAATCTTTCCAATCATGTTTGAAATCCCGACTCCACCTGATTAAGCGAAAAATGGCAAATGAAATAGAAAGCGAAAATAAGTAATAGACTAGAAGCTTGTTACCAAAACAAGTATAAGTTTGGCCATGCAAGGAATTTATCACGGCCTGTTGAATACAAAAGCAAAATCCCCAAGCATCGATAATATTAATCATCAAGTTAAACCACCGTCTAAAACCTTAAGAACGTGTTTGACACACAATATTGTATAGAACTGAACAATATAATAAACAAATTCTTCATGTGTTAGGATCTTGAATAAAATAAATGAATAAATTTGATCTGCTCGTGAGGGAAAGTGAGATGGTTCAACATTATGTGACGACGGATAATGGAAACACTCACCTAGAGAAATTGCACTGATAAAGATTGTGGATGCCAAAATAAAGATGATTATGGATGCTCTTCCCATCAGAAGTATAGCCTTTCTCACAACATGTTGCCCAATAAAAGCAGCAACAGTTGCAACAGCAACCAAGTAAAGCGCTGTCATACAAATGCCGAATAATAATCAATTAAAAAGAAAATTACTTACTTTTGGTCAAACCAATATAAGATCAACAGATTATGGAGACAAAATTGTCTGAGTTGGATGTACACTTACCATAAGGAACTGGAAACCGTTTCAAGAGGTAATATTCTACGACTGACATTGATGAGGAGAACATCATGGCAAAGGTGGCCGTGGCACTTGAAACCTGAAATGAAGTCACCAGGTTTCTTAAAAACGTAAAAGGTAAAGTGTATTAGGGCTTGTTTTCTCCACTTCTCGTAAGAAACCGAATAAAGGCAAAGAAAGAATCAAAACTTTTGAAGATCCTTTCCATGATTGAGTAAATATTGAATGGTATGTCAAGATTCAATTCTAGCTTTGTTCAATGGAAATGAATAAAAATGGCAAATTGTTCTGGGACTAAATTGTTAATCAGTCACTCAATACGACAGTTAAGTAAATTTTTTTTGCTTATTTATTTAGATCGAGAAGTTGATCATGTCTACTCTGCTTGCTATTTATTTATCTATAAGGATCAACCGATCATTCCTCTCTTTTTTCTTTTTTTGCTTATTTAACCTAACTAATTCATTTCAATGAATGTTAAGGCAAAGTGCAAAGAGATAAAATCAGGTCCGAAGTAAACTATCTCACCCTTAGCATTTCATTTTGGCGGAAGCTTAAAAAGTTTACTTAGAAGTAAATAATTTCTTAAAAATAAATAAATTTTTATTTGTTAAAGTTGGAAATAAGTTTGGAAAGTAATGCAAGCGTTACTTTCACAACAAATAACTTTCAAAAGTTGATTAAAAGTAACTTTTACTTTCTTTTTAAGCTTAGCCAAAAATGCTCACAGCTCACTAAAAAGAAAATGCTCACAGGCCTTTCTCATGTAAATCACTTAATTGATTACTCAAAGAACAGGTAATAAGATCACAACCTTTTGTATCAACTTATACAAAGAAAAAGTCAGCTTAGTAGCATTCTAGGAAGGGCTAAAACTCACCTGAGGAGGGATTCCTAACTCCAAAAAGAGTGGACCCATTATAAATCCACCTCCTAGTCCAAGAAGGCCACCTACCAAACCAGCCACTACGCCGAAGAAGCAATAGGTAATTAGTTGATGCACTTGCAAGTTGGCTCCATAGTCACCCTTGGATGAAATTTTTCTCCATCCCTTGTAAAGGCTAATTGCTTCATAACCAGATACTCCAAGAGAGACGGGGACCTGTAGAAACATGAAAGGGAATTGGCAAGGATAAGCTAAAATCTTTCACCTCTTTCAAGGTCAGTATGTTTGTCCAAAAATACTACAGCTTTTCGGGGGATACACCCTTGGTTACTGATCTTTTAGCGAAATTTCAAGTTGGCTTTATTTTTTCTCTAGTTGTTCAAGGAACTTAAACCTCGTTACAATTTGGTTGGTATGTCCATGTTCTTTAGTCTCACTAACAGAGAAGGTGATGTGGAAGTCTAGCTATTTTCGAACTAAGCTATCAACTAAAATGCCATGTCGGCTTAGTCAAACTAATATACATGGACGGAATTATCAACTAGTAACAAATGTTTTCAGCGAGCTACTTTAAATAAAGAATGATTTTATTGACAAGCTTGGAACATAATGAAATTTAAGGACCAATATGAAATTTCACTAAAAGATCAGAGATCACTATTGTCGTTAGCCAGCCCATACTATTAGTCATAACACCAAGCCTCGGGTATAAGTTTTATCCCAAGTTTGATGAAAATACGTACAAAATAAGCATACATACCTGCAGCAAGTTCACCACCCAGTATAATGTCGTACAAGTAGTCATATAGTTCTGTTTCAAAACAAGGCCCATCAATTCGTTAGTACAAGTTCAAGACACTCCAACAGAAGCTTTTTCAGAGAACATAATATCAAAAGAAAAGTAGCAAATGAAAAGAAACCTTAGTGATCTGCAGCACAAGAAATGCAATCCAAACGAAAACAAGAAGCCCAAATTCCTTCCAACAAACATTCTCAAGAATAGAGACCTGTGAATGCGATAATTAGAATTATCTCAGAGAATTTAGAATTGGACATTAGCATCCAATATAAATTATACCTCGGGTTCGGCCAAGTCTTTGGCCACCTTTTCCGTACCATTGCTGGGGCCGCCAGGAAGAAGCTTGTATTCTTCTTCTTCTGTATCATTGCCTAATGCAAAAGGAAGGGCGCATACTTTAATTTAAAGAGAAAAAAAGGACAAAAAGAGATTTTTATTTTTATTTTTTGTTTAAAAAAAGCCAGTCCTTTGGGGCAGAATGAAGATTCTGTAAATCGACTCACTTTTTACCTTCAACCTCTTGGCAGCCTCCTAAAGACAGAAAAATGATTGGTGATAAGCATGAACCAAAAAAAAAAAAAAAAAGGACCAGCAGTTTCAAGATTATGGAAAAGGATGCCAGAAATATATAATATTGCATGTTATTCATGTTAGCCAAAATATTGCAGATTAAAATAATTTTATTAATTACAGTAAGAACATAAGTAATAAAATTGCAGGACATAATTAAAGAGCGAATGAACTTTCAACCGAGGCCCGTGTAAACACAGTCTCCTTAAAACAGATTCGACCCCCTTACCGTAGGTGTTCGATGTTTAGTTTAAGCGTCTGTTTTCCAGAATACAAAGAAAAACCAGTGGAGTTTGAGCACTGCAGATACTATTCCAGCGAACTAACTTAGTATATGAACACTGTCACCAGGACTTTGACATAAAGTAAAAATTATGTATCGAAACAAAAGACAAAATTTTATGTAGATAAGAGAGATTTTTGTGTGCCTACAAGAAAAGAAGATGACTGAATAAATAGGATGTAAAGAAGAATTAACAAGCTAGGAGTTATGCCATTAACCCAACTGTTAATCTCTACAGACATAATCATATGAGTTTCAGGACTTAAGAAAATTTGGAAGGTTTTTATTTGGAAAAATAATAAAAGTCACGCCTGTAAACAAATTCAAGGTCCGAAGCCGATTTTGGTCTGTGATTTGAACCTCCCTGAGCGCGCCTGTGGAGAGACTATTTTGGCTGTGATCTTCTAAAATAAACAATCGGGTCCCACTCAAAATTTATGTCAAAGTCATCCCTTCAATTCATTTTTTTCCAACAATTCTTTTCACTCTTTAAGTATATATAAATTCCCCGATGGATTCATGTTAGAAATATGACATAAAACATCGTCCTAGCATATGATACCACAATGAGACTATGTTTGGCTAACCTTAAAAAAGTAAAAGTTACTTATAAGTAACCTTTTTTGTTCCCAAACATGTTTGAATATGTTGCTTCTTTTTTCAGTTAAAAGAAGTTAACTATTTTGAAGGTAACTCTTACTTTACTTTAAAATATATAACTAACAATCAAAATATTATTTATTTGCAAGGGACTTATAAGTAAACCTTTCAGTATTAGACAAACATGCTTTAAATTTATGACACGCTGATGGAATTTTCTTGTATACATTTTTCATCAGCCACATGCCACCAAAATGCATTAGACCATTGAAGTTTACGACTACCTTTTTCATGATAGTTTCTTTCTTCCATGTCTCGACACCTCTCATAAAGGCTTTGGTTGATGTGCCTGTAACCAGCATATAAAGTAAAAAAATTGCACAAAATCAGGAGTTGTAGTAAACAAACTGCAATGTGATCACTCATTACCTATGAAGAGAATGATTAAAAGAACAGTAACCATCCAATCGGCAAATATCACATTGAAAGCAACTCCAATACTAATGCCTAGCATAAGCATGGGTTGGATGAGTACAGCCAAGTCGTAGTCAATAATAGGCATGTCAAGTGTGGGATGCCTGAGCTTAAGATTGTAGTAAACAGTTGATACGGAAGCTCCCATAATCATACCTGACAAATTAGAAACAGCATTTATGTAACTCCTTTTAAGCACAAAGAAATTTAAGTAAATAAAGAGAATTATAGAGTTTGTAAATAGTGTATAAAAATTTATATAATTAAGTAATTTTGCCATCTATATACTATCTCTAATAGAACTTTTTTTCTTTTGTTTCTAATAAATATAAGTCCGTACAACTATTAGACAGTGAATATTGCACTTATCATCGAGTGACAATGCTTCGGCCCCAACCGGANTCTAATAAATATAAGTCCGTACAACTATTAGACAGTGAATATTGCACTTATCATCGAGTGACAATGCTTCGGCCCCAACCGGAAAATTCGGACCCAGTACACTAATAGATATGGAACCCATTTTCATTTTATACAAACGAAACCCCAAATCACCGTTACAGAGAGGAAAAGAAAGAAAAAAGAAGAAAATGGAAAGAAAAAAGAAAGAAGAAGAAAAAGAAGGGAAAACCTAGCACTGCTGTCCATCTCCACCCCATCGGCGACGATACTAGATTTATAGAAAGCAAAAATAGGAGAGAAGAAAAGGAAAAGTAAAGGAAAAGAGGGAAAAAAGAAAGAAAGAGAAGCAAAAACAACAAAGTGTCTGATAAAAATTTGGAGGATCTGACACATATCTCATATTCATAACCATGTTGTGACGTGTCGTATCCGACAAGGGTACTCCGATTATTTCGAAGAGTCCGAGCATCAGAGCACAGAACTACAAGGTAACACAGTAATTGCCTTGTCAAATGTGAATCAGTTCAATCAACAAAGAACTCAGTAATTACACTCAACATATGAGACCAAGAATATCGATATGTTCCAGGTTAGAAGTTATATCAATATGCTCATCTCTCACATTTTGATATAGCAGTTGCTGATTTTGGATCGAATCCAATAATCAAGGTGAGCATAGGAACGAATATGCCGCCGCCACCAACGCCACCTACACTCCCAAAGGCTGCTCCACAAAATCCAATAATGCTCCCAACGATAATTTTCCATCCAAATTCCAGATCCTGTACATGACATCCCAAATTAACATACATAAAAATCTTCCATCTCACATATATATATATATATATATATATATATATATATAGCTCAAGTAAAATTTGTCCCATACTACTCTTGGAGTCAGATGTAGAGGCTTGATACTACAGGGTATGGAATTACTTAAAAAAGATTCTTAAATATATTCTTTCCATTTGTACATCTACATAATTCATTGCCATATACATATGCTCCATGAAAAATTATACTGTATAAAGTGTACAATCACACAAACACATGCTTAGCATAAATGTTTGGAAACATATACAACTTTTTTTTTTAAAATTATTGTGAATAAATATTAAACTCATCAATACTGATGAAATCTTAAGTTAATTGGTTTTATCTACTGTGATCCATGATGAATTAATTGAAATTTGTCTATTGTGAAGCTGAACATTAAATGTGCTTTCATAGCAACCCAACAGCCACCAACCATATCATTTAATGCTACACAAAAACACATTTCATCATGTAAAAATCGAAAGGTAAAAAATAAAAAAAATTGAACATTGAGTCAGATTGGACCAAAGCTGAAAACTCAAAATTCAAACAACAGAAACTGAATCAACGATTGTGATTTACCGGCCAAACATGCTGGTAGCCTGATTCATTTGCTTGCCATAAGAAATTCGTTAAAGCTTTAAATAATTGTGAATCTGAAGTTGAATCATTGGATGAAGGTTCTGTCTTTAAGCTTCTTTCGGCAGAAACAAAAATTGAAGCCAACAAAAAGCTCCATATAATTGTAAACAATGGCCTAAAAGCCCTCCACCTTTCTTGATTCCACGCCATTCAAAATCCAAAGATTTCCACTTTTTGGTTCCCAAGAAAGCTTATTTAAGACAGTTTTGAGCTCTGGTTTCAAAAGGGTTTCTTTCTTTATGCGTATAATTCTGGATATTTTTGCAACAAGAAAACAAATGTATAGGTGGGAATTGTTTTCTTTGAGGGTCAATGGAGAAATGAAAGGCAAGAAATCTGTGGATCAGAGAGGATGAGGACGAAAATGGGAAAACAAAATTGAAGCAAACTAAAATAAAAAAATTAATTGAATGACTCAAAGCGAAGTGAATGATGGCTTAATTGGATAAAAATAGACAAGCAAATTGGAGGTTACCTGCAAGCATAAATGACAAGAGCGTAGAGGGGTAATGACAACTAACTGACAGAGGTATGCTTGGATGAATCACGCTTGGATTCCTGGGGGCCAACCTTTTTTATTCATGGACATGTGAGTTCTTGCTTCGGCTCACTTCGAGTTAATTATCCCAGGGGTCACTGAACTCATTTTTCAATCTTCGATTACTCACTAAAATTTAAAATGTTAAATTTTGACAACTAAATTTATCAAAAAGTTGGATGCTACTCACTATCTTAACATTCATTTCTATTCTTTGATGGAATTAGTAACGTGACTAATGAAATATACACGTGGCATCTCGTCAAGTCATTAACAAATGATTACGTCTTCGATTACTTATCAAACTTTGAAAAAATGTATTTACTTGCTCAATAACTTTGAAAAACCTTCGATTACTCACGAAACTTTGAAAAACGTCTTCCATTACTCACCGAACTTTAAGGTAGTCGAATTTTGGCCATTAAATTTATGAAATTGATGTCGACCTTTTGTTCGTTTAGTGGCTAAAAGTGATTGTACTACATATTTTTTAACGAACAATAGGTCAATGTCATTTTTAAAAAGTTCAGTGGCCAAAATTTGATCACCTCAAAGTCCAATGAACAATCAAAAACGTTTTTCAAAGTTTAGTAAGCAATTAAAGGCATTTTTTAAAGTTTGATGAGCAATCGAAAACGTAACAGTTTGTTAACGATGTGACTAGGCCCCACGTATATATTCTATTAGCAACGTCACCAATTCCGTCAAAGAATTGAAACGGATTTTAAGGTAATGAGTAAATTCCAACGTTTTGATAAGTTTAGTTGCCAAAATTTAACATTTTAAACTTCAGTGAGTAATCGAATATAGAGACATAAGTTCAATGACAATTGGGACAATCAACTCGCTCATTTCATGCTTTAGTTATGGGTTTGATGAGTTAATATTTGATTAACTATATGTTTAACGTGAAAATCTTGAGTTGTTGCAGTGGCTGGGTGCAGATGGCAAAGTAGGTGGTCGTGAATGGGATGGAAGTAAATATGGTTAAACTGTGACATTAAGCCCTTGTTTGGACTCATTTTAACGAGGTTTAGGAAAAAATGTATTTTGAAATGTTAATTTTTTTGATAATGTTTCGTTAAAGCGTAAGGAAAAATTTTGAATTTATATGAATGTTATTTTATTGAATAATGTGTGGTTGGAATAAAAAAAGAAAAGAAAAGAAAATGCATTAAATTAAGTCTCTGTTTAACAACCTTCTTTTTTTTTGGAAGAGTGAGTTTTTGAATAATAAATTTTTGGAGAACGTATGATCAGAAAGTAGGAAAAAAATTTAAATTTACTTGAAAAATATTTTATTGTAAAAATGTTTTAAAATTGTTGATCATTGATGTTAAGTGGACTCATCAATAATTTGATTTTGAATAAACGGGTTTGATTCCAATTTTGAAGTCTTAATTACGTATACCGTTTATAAATTTCTTAAAATTATGAGTTAATCAAAAATTTTTTAATCCCACATTTCATGAGATTCACTATCTTATAATCTCAAAAGGCTTTGTCATACCGTGGCTAAAATAGAAACAATTTGAAGACAAAAATGCTGATTTTTTGGAGATAGAAATGCAACTCATTCCTGCCCAATTTTAGATGCATGTGACTTTACATTTTGATAATTTTCATGTCTAGTGAGCTAATATTCAACAAATTAGATATTTGGTGAGCTAATATTGGTAAACATATTTAATATTTTGACAAGCTATATGTTAGTCAAATGATTGGAGTATGTAAATAATTAACAAAATAATTGTTTAAATCTTGGCTTGGCTAAATTATAATCATCATTATTTTATTTTTATTGAAAAATCTTTTGAAGTAATTTCAATTTTCTCACTTATCTTTAAGAATTAGTAAATTACTACCTTCTTCTTCTTCTTCTTCGAAATTTGGGTTGTTTTTCAGATATCTCTTTTTTCTGTTTTATTCTCTTTTTTCTTAAAAAAAGAGGTGCGGATGCAATAGTGCAATATATTTTGTTAAAAGATTTACTAAATTAGAGCCTCAAAATGAATGTCTAAAATCTAAAATTTTATGTACATTGTATACTCTCTCAAATATTAGCAATAGTGAAAAACCAGTATTAGGTTTTTGTAAATTTTGATGTAACTATGCATTTGCATTCAAATAAACAAAACAAGGGATTTACAGTTTCGTTTTTGCTCTTCGGAATGTAATTACCATAAAAGAAAAAAGGTTTAGATAATATTCCCAATTTCATAAATAAGCATGATAATGAGGTTCAAATCCTAATGAGATCAAATATTTTTACATTTTCTTACCCCCAAAAAGGAAAAAGAAAAAAAAAAAGAAAAAAGAAAAAGTTAAGCTGCCATCTGTTAATTTTATCTGATCGACTTAATAGAGTATAAATAATTTGAGTATTATCGTTGGTCATAAAAGCTGTACGGTACAAATTTGATAGAATTGGTGATCGAAAATTTGATAAAAATTGTGAACCTCATAAAATATTTAATTGAAAATATATTTTAAAAAAATGGGGACAGCAAAAATTATCAATCGTTATATAGTTTAGCTGCAATACGCCAAGGCTGGCATTTATTATTACAATTAGAAAATTGTGGTCCATAAATTATATCTAACCTAATATCTATGGAAAATACCGTTTGTACAGAAAAATAGTTTATCGTCTTCTTGACAGATTCTCACATTCGCGTGGGGACCCGCATGAGATCCGAGTGAAAAAAATGATAAAAAATTGCTCCCCCCTCCCCCTATGAGTCTGTTCTGTCAGGGAGGGTGTCAAACCCTCCCTGTACAAATAGCAAGGTCCAATATTTATTGGCAAGTCGTCCTATTTTGTTATTTTGTAGCACTTGAGTAGAGCATATAGGCACATAAATTTACTTAAGCCTAATTTTTATTTTTATTTAAAATAATATTATACTTGTCTTTTTAAATGTTTTTATTTTTTTGGACATCTCTATCTTCGTATTACACATCTTTTTCGCAATTATTTTCAATGTTAATCAATCTCGATCAAGCGAAAATTCAATTATTGGAGATCCAAGTGTTACAAATCATAAGGTACAAGACCGAAATGCAAAGATCCAAATATTGTACGTAAGTCGTAGGAATGATTATTTTATCGTGGTCCCGCTCCTAAATTGGAATTGGACGTATTCTCAGCTTAATTGTTGTACGGCAATAATTTTGTTAGCATTTGAATTCCTTTTAAACTAATGTCTTCTCTGAATAAAAACTTAAAAAAGGACACTACACAACTTCCCTAACCCTAATCAATGAAATTGATCCCACCACTATACTACAACAACTTAGCTAGCATTTGAACACCTTTTAAACTAAGGACCATGTTATATGTACCGAATTTTTTCACCGAATCCCTTACCGACCATTCCTTTTAATCTTCTCGCCTCTCTATCTCTTTCTTGCACCTGCCATTGGCTTAAGCTTGAAATGGGTTCCCATCCGCATCAATCGGGGATAGGGATGGCCCCGAGGCATGAAAATTCCTAATAGGTCGGTACCAACGCACCCAACTTCGTCCCACCTCGTTACCATTTTTGATAAATTGGAGACTCTTGTAATTTTTGCTATTTTGGTAATTAAGTCCTTGTTTGGGATTCACAATTAATTTAAATTAAAGTCAATTATTAATTTTAACAATATATTTTATTAGATCTGCAACTTTTCAATTACATATTTAATTAATTTTTATTAAAAATTAATTTTAATTTTCATAAAGTACGGAAGCAAAGCGAAGTGCCGCATTGAACACGTGGGCTCTGGCACATTTTTCAGGCGCCTACCCACTGAATTGATTCCTCAATGATGAGTTAATGTTAACCGCTTAATGGGTTGAATTTATTAATGTTCATCAAACTTTATATTTAACGTCATTATAATCACTTAATTTAATTTTATTTTATCATGATCACTCAACTTTATATTTAGTATCACTATGATTACTCAATTTGATTTTATTTCACCTTAGTCACCTGATTTCATATAACGTTTGACCATGATCGGCCAACTTTTTTCACACTTTTTACTAATTTTAAAAATGATAACTTTAGATTATACATATAAAATTAAATTAAAAAAAACAAAAGTAAAAGGTTTTTTTAATATTAGAAATGTTTTTTAAATAATTTTGTATTTTTTAGGGAACTTTTTTTGAATAACTTTTTCAAAAATATTTTTTAAAAAAAGTTTTTTAAAAAAAAGTTTTAATTTTTTTATTTTTTAAGGAATATTTTTAAATAATTTTTATTTTATTTTATTTTTCTAAGTAACTTTTTTAGATAAGTTTTTTTTTTTGGTTTTTTTAAGTAATTTTTTTTAATAACTTTTTATATCTTTTATTTTAAAGTAACAATTTTTTATTTTATTATTGATATAGTTTTTTTAGTTTATTTTAATACAAAGTTACCGTTTTACTCCTTTTAAAATTAGTAAAATTGGCAAAAAAAAATTTGGATAGTCATGATGAAACGTTATATGAAATTGAGTGATCATGATATAACATTATATGAAATTGGTGGTTATGGTGAAAAAAAATTCAAATTGAGTGGTCATTCTGATATTAAGTATAAAATTGAGTGACTATAGCGAAACAATATCAATTTTAATGATTATGGTTACACTAAGTATAAAGTTGGATGGCTATTGATGGATTTAACCCTATTATTAATCAGTTGATTATTTTTTTCATATATCTTAATGTTCGACAGTGTAATTTAAATAAATAAACTGGAGAATGAGAAAAAAAAAAATTGAGTGAGACAAGATCCATGTATTCTGATAATCTTGTTTGAATTAATTAATCGTGATGGATGATTGGCTGATAAATTAGTTAAAATTATTTCCCCATTAATTTTCATTCTATTACATTTTAATTCTCTCTCTTTTATTTTAAATTACACAATGCCACAATCTTCAATTAAATAATATTACACATAAATTGAAATTTTTTTATTTTTTTTCAACCACTCATTTTTTTAAAAAAATAATATATTATTTCACTCATTTTCATT